CGCTACAACCCAGAAGACAGCAGTATTCAGTTACCCAGAGGTAACATTAACAGCATTGGAACCGAAATCTGTGTAATAGAAAAGTGGGCTTAATTCTGCATGTTTATTTATTTGCAGTATAGAAATCATCAAACACTGAAAGCCAGAATGTTTCGATTTTATAATGCTTTATCTGTCAGGCTTTAGAATACGACTTGAATCGCTTCTCCATCAGGTTGAAAGGGATGTCTTCATGTAAGAAACCTGTTTCTTTAGATTCCAGGTTCCTTTGAGAGATTTAGATCAGAGTCGAGAGTACTCAAGTAAATGAAAGGCGACTTAATTTGACTGCAGTACAGCGCTGTGTATATTTTGTAGTGTTTTTTATGCCCATTAAATAAAAATCGACAGATAATTTAATTTCGTACCAGAGAAATAATTTGGTTGACGTTATAAAGTATATAGCGTACGTTCAGTGATAGAGTCCATGAACTCCAGAAGTGATGTTAGTAGTTACAATTGAATTACGTATTTCATAGCGACAAAACACTATATACACTTTTGTAATTTTATAATTTTTTTGGGTGGATGAACCCAGTATTCTGCAAGCAGTTGAGGGCTGGTGATAAGCTTTCCTTTATATTTCGTACATAAACTTTACATAAAAACTAAACTCCCAGATGTTAATTTTATTATATATCTTAAGCGTACTTAACGTCACGTACAAAAATCAATATACAGGGTGTCCCAAAAGATTTAAAACACATGTAGTGAATGAAATAAAGACATTTTAATAAAACTATACCTTTACATTTGTCAAAATCGGCACTTGGTGAGTTAGCAAATCTAGTCTAGGTGTTCCGAATAATCACCGTTAGCTTCGGGGCATAATTGATAGCGGCCACCAAATTTGCTGTTGTGTATAAATCTTTTTCAGACACATTGTGTATAATATTGATCAGTCTGTCTATTCGCATTTTTACATCTCCGATGCTACTCTACGGATTTCGACATAATTTGGTATCGATCCAGATTGAAGTTTATCGACTGTATTGACGGAGGTAGCAAGGACCTCTGAAACGTCGGTAAACTTGTACCAGACTACATCGAGCAACAACCTAGAGGACAGCCATCTTCATACTCGCTTTGAGGTTATGTTTTGTAACTGTCTGATAGTAGAATCTTGTGGTAGCGTAGTTTTTATGTTAATGTTCGTCCTAACAGGACAGACACTCGGAGACTGGTTTCGACGGTGCACTCCGGTGAGCTGTGCCAGCTACATTAAAAAGAAGGATGCTTCATTAGAGCAGGTCGTCTTGGAGGAAGTCGGCTTTTAATCTTGAGTGTCTTTTGTTAGACTTTCATGTGAAAAGTAATACACGGAACAGAGCAACTTTTTGTGTGTCTTGGCAACATTAACTCTCATAGTTCGCGTTTCTTATTATCTGCAGTGAGGGCACTGTTCCTTGCACTTGTATAAAAAAGAAAGATTTGTTCTGTCAAATGTGAAGTGTAATTACATTCTTAAGAAATAGAACACTCATTTATTTTTGTAATTAGTTTTTTTTGTGAAATTTGGCGTTTTTACAAATAAATCATATCGGGAAAACCTACAAAATTACTCTATGGTAGTGTTCTTTAATTACAATATTTCGACTCACGTTTTAGCAACCATCTTCAGGGATAAATGGAATATAACTAATGGTAAATGCAGTTCAGCCTCTTGTTAATGTCGTGAATGCCTGCGATGCAGAATTGTTATGACATATTTTCAAAGCTAAACTAAATTTTGTCGCAGAAAACTTATCCGAATCACACATAACGATAGTAAAATCGGCCAGACTTTTTATGTCAGTGCTGGATAATTGCAGTGTGAAAGCGGGTTATCGAATTAGTGACACCCGCGTGGAAACGAGGACGCACAATCTTGTACGACATTTATCTCTGCGAAATAAAGACTGAAATGTCCACGGAAATTCCGTGAAAATTCACAAGTTCTTAGAAGATTGTTTGGATTTGAGTAGGTCGTAGTAGCTGGGAACTGGAGAAATTTGTGTTACTGGGTGTTTCAGAATTTGCGCTGTATAGTGTATATAGGAGTTTGAAGTTATGTGGATTAAATTGGCTGTATATGGATTCTGTAATAACAGTAACGAAATTTGTGGTTACATACAGCAGACTTTTCACCATCAGAATAATCAGTTTCTTTAATATGCGTTTGTGTTCAGCTTGTAGTGGGATCCAGCTTGGTTTACAACGGAAGACGTGCATCCGTTACCCTGGACCATCTGCATGTACCAGCTCGTTCCGAAACATATTATGAAATAATTATGTAATTTTGCATAATTTATTACTAAAACTTTGCAGTCTAATTGGATGTTTAAACTTCACAACATGTACTACCATTTCACGTTAAAATTTAAATGTTTCTACATTTTTATATTTTAATTATTGCTATCGAAAAATATCTCGACAGTTTATTTATGGTGACACCAGTATAACCACAATAAGAGAATGACTTACCAGTTTATATATTTTTTTCCATGGCCATAACACGATGGCAAATTATGAGGCCTTGACTTAATTTTCTTTATGGCAGCAATTATGCGACAAGTATAGCAGGACACAGAATCAGTTTAAATTTGCCACGCTATATGCGACTTACGGAGTTATCTGCCTCCTCTTAAATGTCGAGCTGAGTACCAAGATTATTTATGCTAATGGTGGGTATCACACGCCGACTTTGCTGGGTTTTTTTTTCCCATAGTATGTGTCTGTTCGACTGTATCAGTGCCATTCGCTTATTTATGTTTGTTGAATAAGAACGTTAGACTACTCAGTCCTTTACGAAGTTTTGCCACTACCAACTTTTGCGATGATGCACATACTCTGAGCTTGGCTCGTCATCCGAAATCTTCCGAAAAAAATCGAACACTTCTAACGTAAACGGAAACAAAGTCTCTCAGTCAGTCGGTAAAGTCAGGGGAAATACAAGTTTTGTTGCATTTTAACAGCATATTTAACAATGTTTCCGTTGCTTGTATGTTTCAGGCAACAATTATCTTTTTTGTTTTTGTTATAAATGTGTCTGTCGTTCGGGAATGTAACCCTTATTTTAACATCGCACTTATGGGAAATATCGACTCGCTTTGTGAACTCTCTCTTTAGGAATGCCACCCAGCCTCCTCTACAATGGGTACCGGGGTCCTTTCCCGGGGGTAAAGCCGGCCGGGGCGTGATGCTGACCACTCACCCCCATCTAGTGCCGAGGTCAAGGAAGAGAGGAGCTATACCTCCACTCCCCCCAAGCGCCTATATGGCGTATAGTGGGACAAACTTTACTAAGACCATGAAACTTACGATCAGACGAGTGCTCTTAACGAAGAACACCCAGTGACGATACACGAGTGACCTTTGTTTTGGAGTGTCCTGTCACGTGATTGGTTCGTGCGATGAACAAGAGTGAATCATGTTCTGCTTTGAGTCACTTGTCACTTCAGGAGTGTGTTCTGAGTTATTTGAACCCTTTTGAAGCCAAAACTTGTCTAAATAATATTTAAGAATTCAGTCCGTACCGCAAAGAAAACACAGCACTTCACCATTACAAAAATGAAGTGGTTAAAGCTGTTTAAGGAGATAATAGCTGTTTACAGTGAGTATCATATGAAACTCATAATTACAAAATGCACACACAGTTGCTGATTGTTATAGCAGGTGGTACATATAGTTACCACTGGGTTTTAAAGAGGACAGAAATGTGGCTGACGTTTGCATATGGCTTGTAAGCAAGAAATGTTCCACATGCTTTCATTCCTAGGTCCAATATCTCTCCAGGTTGCTACATCCGCTTTAACATGAGCCACCCAGACATTCTGTTTCTATGAAAGGCTCTCGAATTCTGTCACTATAATTGTGGATATTCTTGTACGTACATTCTGGTGGCAATTTGTACGTTGAGAAAGTACTGGTTTCTAGAGCAGAAGAGACTGAGATAATAGAAGCTGCAGGCAGTAAGAACTCACTAACGAGCGAGGTCCATATTTTAAATTGTGGCTATTCCGAGTCTTTGGCGGGCGAATTTCGAGCCTGACTCTCGTATTCTGAAAGTACCTAGATAGGTTTTCAGCAGTGGTTATCTTTAGAAGCTCTTCTGTGCTGCTGTGATGTAAACTGCGGCCATTTCTAATGATATTTGTTGTATCTGGGAAAAATGATTACGATAATTTTAAACGGTTTTAATATTTAAAAATAAAAATTGATCATCTCTAGTCGTGTAGTTAATGTTCTTAGGAGAAGAGCTGAGTAAAACATAGAACCTTTATGAAATAACTTTAAAAACACAATGACCAGATATTTTGTTCTGGTATACATTTCAGAAGTGTCCGGTTCGAATCTCGACAGGGTCATCGTCTGACATGTCAGTCTTTTTATCCAAATATCGACTGATTTGAACAACCTCCCCCCTAAAGCTGTTTCTGTCCGCTTTTATTTATCTTACTGAAATAATATATTGCCTTTTGATGACATCTGGCGTCACAGTATGTGATTTCTGTTTCATACAGCGAATAAGGGGTCTGCATTGTTTTCAAGATGGCATAAACAGTGGTGCTGAAAATGTCTCTGGTTTCTTAAAAATGCCTAAGTTTTGTAAGGTTGTTTTATCTGAGATTAAATATAATTAATTATTAACTTAGCGATCCAGTTAAACGTTGTGTAGTGCTGTAGTGAGAGATTATAAAAGTTTTGAACAAATATTATATTAAATTATATTTTTGTGTGTTCCATAGTGTAATCCATATTCTCAAATGCTAGCTTTCGTTAGTTGTTTTTCTGATAACTGTGTAAAAATATTTGCACGGTCGCTATGTTTTTTTATTTTCCACAAAAAAATATGTTTAACAAACTCTTCCGAATATTCTTTACATCTTTCGTAATTTCGTAATGAGTGGCGCTAATAGACGCTGTTGTTCTCACGCCAAATATACATAGCTTTAAGTGGCATGACATCTAAGGTTCACCCTGTCCTGATAAAAATTCCTGTTTTGGTCAACCCCCTTCTTTATCATTTTCGAAACTGTATTTTTTATTATGTTAATTGCATTTCCGCGTGTCAACACAGGCGCGCCTTCCCATTTTGTGAGAGCCTCGTTGTTAGGCAACTCATCTTGCATGCAATGCATTTGGGTACCAGGGACAGTAGGCGCAGTGAAGTAAGATTACCACACGCCGCTAATGTCACGTACTTGACCGAAATAACATTTAGTGATGCTTTGCTGGACACACTTTTTGGTGGTTTCGCTGCGAGCGCATTGCATGATGGAACTGTAATAAACTTCAATCTGCCTCTCTCTCTTTCATTATGCCACCACTGTACACAGTAGGCACTCCTGTCTCTGAAAAGTCTGGTAATTTCTAAGCTCTTACGTACGCTTCGATTGTGCAGCATTATTTTTGAATTAGCATAACATAAACGTAACATAACATAACTGCACATTGGCTAACTGAATAATTTTTATTAGAAAGGGACTGAGATAAAGGTACGACACTGTCAGAGAAGAAATAATTTCACATTGAATTTTGGTGCGGGTATTCCACTAGCGTAAGCCTGTTATCAGTACAGTTCTCAGTGGGAAGGAAGTGGTCTGTCGTACGTCAACTCTTTGGTATTTATTTGTCTGAAACGGCTTAATTAAAGTTTAAGATTTGTGTTAATTTAATCCAGCCTGTAAGTTATGAAAGTCTGAAGCACGCAGACGGACTGCTTCGAGATTTCATCGGAAAAAAAAAGATATCACGGAATATGTCAGTACTTACCATAAATTTGAGGTTAGGTGCGTTGCAGTTGTTTGAAAACTTTCTTTGAATACGTTAAAATTTCGGGTATAAAGAGAAAGGTTTTTCGACGAATAATAAAAGAATATAATATAATAATATACTGCAGAGGTCACCAAGTGATGTCAATTTAATTTTATATTGAAATTTATGAATATAAACTTTTGACGTAAATACGTCTATGCGGAAGGGTCATTCGGCAAAAAGGCGTAACGAAAATGTGAAAGATCCATATCAACAATGTGTAAATATGGACCGATAACAATGGTCAGATTTTATATGAACTCCTTCGTGCATTGTTGTGTTACATTACTGCCGTCAACAATCCACTTTCGTTATTGCAGATAATTTTGTGCTGGTAAAATCGTTTTAGAATATCACAGGTACTTATCTTATATAAGAATTATTACATTACATTACAGAGACGTATTTACGTCAGATTCTCCGGAACCGTGGTTCCACTGTCAGCTTTTTTTATTTTATTCTCAGTCATTCGATCTCATCTTTTGATTTAGATTCTATGCAGCACTCAAACACACGGTAGGCTTAAAGGAGATATTCTAAAATGCAAATACTTCGATTCCTCGCCAACCGAGGGTTTTCGTTTGTATGCAGTTTTGCCAACCACAGTATATGGTTTTATGTATTCACGGTTATTAAGGAAGAAACTCGTGACTTGAAACCAAGAGGCCCACATCTGGCGTGAGCAGGGCTGTAATGCCGTGCGAAATCAGTTTTATAACTTCTAGATTACCATTGCTGTACGATACGTCTTTTTATGACACTTTATATTATGTATGATTTTTTAAACGTAGTATTAATTTTTTATGAAGAAGAAGGCGGCAACTCAGACTTCGATTTATGTTAGCATCGTCTGTTGTTCCCTAAATCCTCAATTTTCCAAGGGCCTTGGTCTTGCCAACCACAGTACTTTTCAGAAATGGTAACTACCTAGGGTTATGAGTGATTATTTTATTGGTATCTGAGATTTTCTCAGAGACATGAGTTTATATTATGTCATGTCGGGTTGTTGGGCCATGTTTTCCTCTGGTTGTATACCGAAGTTTCAGATGAACAAGTTGTCTCAATCTTTATGGTTGAACCGGTAAGAATAAGAAGTTTGATGGTAGATGGATGATTGATTGGGCTGCATTTTCCCTCCCACTACCATGGCTCTGATTGGTCAGTCTTACTGTGCTCCCTGGTCTGATATTCACCTAACTCAGTATAACCCACCAAGAACCAAACCCTTCTTTCTTCAACCCAGAAGTTTGGAACAGCATGTTCTTCTGAAACGTTGGTGTGCAATCAGAATACTGCAATCTGAAGATTAATGTCTTGTCAGAAAGTTGTGTTGATAGCAGAGTTGCATTTTATTGCAGCAATTCGCTCGCCATGAGGTAGAGGTAGAATGGGCCGAGGGGGGCGCAAACTGGCGCTCTGTCTGGCCGCCACACTGCTTGCAGCGTGGGTGCTCTACCGCCTGCTGATATCTTGCGCCAGCTGGAATGACCACAGACCCATTATGATGCCAAGAAATGTAAGCGATTTAATTTCATGTCTGCGTTTGTCTTTGATTCTGTCGACATCATCTTGCTCCTGAACCATGTAACAGATTTCCATGGATTGTGGTATTGGAAGATTTTTCTGAAGTAATGACTACTTTCCATCAAGTATCCTTATGAAAATACTGTATGAATTGAATTTTTCTCCCTTTTGATCTCCGCATGTAATCCATCCCATGTTAATTTAACCACCGCGAAAGAAATTTGAGGTTCCCACCGCAGAGCAGTGAAGAAGTCAGTGTTGGCCTTCTGTATTGCAATGCCATTTAGACTCATAGGCAAGTAAAATTTTGGAGAATCATACCCTCTCTGTCTTCTTGCGTGGTGTCACAACCCAGAAGACCAACATTGACAGTACAGAAGTAGACGAGTTTATACATCATGAAGTTACTCGTTGCATAATGTCCCCCATTGCCCGTTTATTTAATTTCTGTTTGATATAAAACAAAAAATGAAATGCTGTTTGCTTGATTTAATAAAAATTATATTGTCCTTCAAATTATTGTATCAAGAACAATAACAGAAGCTATCAAACCTTCCTTGTGATAATGAGACAAGGCATTAAAATAAAAAGTAGTGGACTACATTCACTCTTCAGCTCTGAAGACAGAAGCAATATGTTCCTCCAAAACATTGGCACAGAATCAAAATACTGTAGGCGTAACAACCCCAGCGATCACCATCTTTTTTCACACAGGTGTGACAACCTCAAATTCTGGTTTGGTTCAGGTCATGTGTAGATTTCCTACTTTTGCTGGCTTGTGCTTATATGTTATTTAATTATTTTTTAATTGTCTGAAGATAAATTTAATGTCTCGGAGGATGTCTTAATCCAGCGACTCAGGATTCCAAGGAAAGCGATTTTATATGCTGAATTTAAATGTTCTTGCTTCAGCAACTGATTCTCAGTGAACCACGTGTTTCAGACATACGTCTTGGGAGAGGACAGGAAGGTGTATCCGTATGATCGGTACATGCCACTGATCTTCATTGGTGGAGTGCCTCGCTCTGGTACAACTCTCATGCGAGCCATGCTTGATGCACATCCCGAAGTCAGGTGAGCTGTGAGACCATTTTACAACTTTGTGAAGTCAGTTATGCACTTGTCACATAAACTGAACATGGCAATTTGTTAAAAGAATTATTGAAAGCAACGGAATTCATAAATACATGTATTCTTGAATCAGTGTGCTGTACTTTAACACTGTCCTGCAAATGCAGAGATTGGACACAACGTCAAATGCGCTGGCTAAAAGTTCTAAAAAAAATTTATGTGTGAGGTTATTGTGACTTGCCATAGCCTAAACAGACCTTTCACAAACTGGCAGTAGTTAATTCTCATTTAAAACTTTAAAGCCAGTGCCAAGAAAATGTAGAACTTATACTAACTGTTTTATTAATCCTCTTCTACGTAGGTGTGGCCAGGAGACACGTGTCATTCCTCGAATTCTCCAAATGAGGTCTCACTGGCTTAAATCCCAAAAAGAGAGTGTTCGATTAGAAGAAGCAGGTTTATCAAAAGAGGTAGGAAATTATTTCACAGGGATGGTTATTGGATGTACAGCTTGTTTAATTTTTGTGACTGAACCGTGAATTTGCATTAGACATAAATCCATTTAATGGTGTAATGTATATTGAAAGAAATTTTAAACAGAATTCAGCAAATGATTTTCAGAAATTTATCAAGAAAACTTTTGATTTAAACAGCTGAATGTGACATCTGGGCACTGAAATCTGTCCGTCGTGTTCTCCAAACAGCTGTTTCTAAAGTCTGACAAAGTTGGGTGAAATGCATCATGAACATATGCCTCCATTATCGAAAAACAACACTTCAGTGTATTCACTCATTTGTATCGGATTGTAGGTGCTGGACTCGGCCATTGCTGCATTTTGTCTGGAGGTGATCGCGAGGCATGGAGATCCAGCGCCACGGCTGTGCAACAAGGATCCATTAACATTTAAGTCTGCAGCGTACCTGTCTGAGCTGTTTCCACAAGCCAAATTTATTTTTATGTTACGTGACGGTCGTGCCACTGTGCATTCCATCATATCCAGGAAGGTGAGGAGTGTGTGTGTCCCATAGTGGTGGTCATGATGATAAACAAATTTATATAAGACAGCCGTCATCAGACTCGCCACCATTAAAACTTCAAATCCAACTTAACAAATTTAAATTTATTTTATTTAAGGTATTAAAACTAAAGATTTTGTAATGAGAGTGTAATGTTTTATATATATAGACATGTTATGTTGCTTCGCTTGATAGCACATCTCGCATGATGGTTTTGCAGGTGACCATAACAGGGTTTGATCTGACGAGCTACCGCCAGTGTCTGACAAAGTGGAACTCTGCAATTCAGACTATGTATAATCAGTGTCGCGATGTGGGACCCTCACGGTGCTTCATGGTGTACTATGAGCAGCTGGTCCTGCATCCTGGTGAGTGGATGCGGCGTATTCTTCAGTTCCTTGACATCCCTTGGAATGAATCTGTTCTTCATCATGATGAACTAATCAACAAGCCTGGTGGTGTTTCATTGTCAAAGTAAGTGAAATGTCCATTGTATATTTTTATTGTTTGTAGTTCATTCAGTAGAACTGTCTGTAGCTCAGATTTTATGGAATGGTAGAATAATAAATGCATAATAAATCTGAAAGAATATGTAAGGAAGTAATTACAGTCAATTTAAGATACTATACTGGTGAGATGTCAGGTTTTCATTGCAGCAACCTACTGTATTGACATCTCATATTAATATGAATCATACCTGTCCTGTTTATGTAGCATATAATTCCCTTTCTTGCTGAGGATAAAATTGTTTTCTTACTCTCGGAAGTTCCATTTGATTTGCACAAAAGAGGTACCGTACCACTAATTGTAATTATTGTTGGTTTATGTGATTGTTTTTAGAGTGGAGCGGTCATCAGACCAAGTGATAAAGCCAGTAAACTTGGAAGCACTGGCCAAATGGGTGGAAAACATACCAGATGATGTAGTGCGGGACATGGCTGACATTGCACCCATGCTATCTGTTTTGGGCTATGACCCATTTGCGAATCCACCGGCATATGGTTCACCGGACGCTTTTGTTGCTGATAATACGAAGCGTATACGTGCCAATATGCAACTTTGGGAGAATAGAGCTAAAGACTTGCTTAGTCCGCAACGGACGTTTCAAGATGTGAATATCGAGGACTCGGCATCAGAAGCCGCACCTGCTCCTGCTGCTGCGTGATCCTTTCATTTGATTGGGTTTGTGTGTAACCATTAAGCCAGATCATAATTTGGAGTGTGGCTCTTCAGATAATGGCTGGATTTATAAGGACTGGCAGAATTTACATAAAGCAGAAAATGTTCATTCTTTCTTATTCAAGACTGCCTAATATTTTATGTTTGATTTTATATAATAAAATTGTTAGGAACGAGTATCGTAAGTGCGAAGACAACTCGGTTCTTCTGAAATTCAGTTTAAGGATCCTGCTTCCAACATTTTCTTATACGTTTTGAAATGTTATATGTTTTTCAGTTGACAGTATTTGTATTCATTGAGTTCTGTGTTTCTTCCTTCTACTTCACATTCTGTCCTGTGTGGTATGATGTTTTACCTTCTTGTTACAGTTTTTAGTACTTAGTTTTGTCACTACAGTACATCAATATTCCATGTGATGTCGCACTGTAGTACCAGCTTATGAGTTACAGGAAGCACTGTTTTACTAGTACCAGTTATAGAGGCTGATGAGTGAGCTGGCAATTGCTGTCACCATATTCTAGGATAAAAAGTGATAAATTGGTAGTTCTTACGTCATTGCTCAATATCCATATTGGGAGTAAAGTTTAAGATCTCAGATCTATTGTATTGCTTTTATTGGGATGCATAATTTATGTGATATGACCACTTGTTTCAGATTTGATGATCTGAGCATTTTGATATTTTAAACTTTTATGGCAAATAATTTCAATAAAATTCGCTTAGGTAATTGGCTGCATTACTCTTGAGCAGAAAACAAGAATTTCAAAGACTGGCTCCATCTACAAAATGTTTCATTTTCGTAAGTTCTCGCATAAACCTATTTGTTTTACACCGAATAGCACAAGAATGAAACAGAAAATATTTTTTTATGGCTCAGTTTGATACTTCTCAAAGAAATTTAATTTCCCTAATGCATGCCATAGATTTTGGTAGATTATATTTTTAAGGTCAGTGTTTGGATAAAACCATTTTGAATATTTGGATAATGTAGATGAGATAATTATATATGATATGAATGAGTTTGAATTTTTCATTGCTTTTCCATGTCTTCAGCCTTCAACCAAAATTGTAACATCCATTTTAAGAACTGCAACTATTAGTGTAATCTTTCATTCAGTAGACTATAAATTTTGAAGCTGGCGTTTACAGTTCATGGCCCACATTGTGTGGTGACTCATTTGGCTGATGAGTGGGATGAGATACAGTGACTAGAGACTGAAGAATAGAGGAGGTCATGTTGATTTAATTTTAATTAAATTCATAGCCAACATTATGTTAAAATACCCTTTTATATAAGATGTTTCGTAACCTTGATCAAAGCCTCGGACAGACGGACCTAACAGAGGACCGAATGGAAGAGGAGAATTGAGGAGGCCATGGACCGAATACGGACCGGAGAGCTGAAGAAGAAGAAGAAGAATACCCTTTTATATAAGTTAAGTTTTTTAATGAGATCCTTTGAAGCAGAATGCATGTACAGGTTGGTGAAATGTTGCACGTTTCAAGATATGGTGATTGGTATAATGTAAAAAAAAGACAGTGGAAGGGAAAAGAATTGTATTAGAGACTATGGAAGCTGGATCCAAAAATAATGTACTTACATGGACTATGAAACATTGACCTCTTTCATGTGTATTTATGAAAGGAATCAGTATATCTGTTCTGAAGTTTTTGTGTGAAGTGACTGATGTGTACAGATTGATAAAAAATAATTGTGACTGCATTTTATTGTTCCCTGTTACACAACCCTACCTCCTTGCTCATAACAAAGATATGGGAATTTTTTTTAAATAATGAAGTTGTAAGATTAAAGTTAAATGTTCAGAAATAAATAGGTAAAAGAAATTAAGTTACTTATTGTAATGAAACACTCAGAAAAAAATGGCCTTAATCAGTTGTATTGAACTGTATATTGTACAGAAATTAAAAATTCTTTGTTTATGTTTGGCCCAGTTCGGAAACATGGTGTTCTTCTATCTGCTTAAATACTTCTCAAATCATGGCCATCTTTGGAATCTGAACATGTATAGCTATGTCTGAAAAGAGGAATAAGATGTTTTAATCGCTTGCACAGATATATGGTTATATTTTTTAAATTAACATCAAGAAATCAAAGTAATCTCATTGTAACATATTTTTGGTGCTTTCTAGCAAACATCTTTTGTGTAAAATATAGAGGGGAGAAATTAAATGTGGTGTCTTGAAGATGGAGTAAGACATTGAAATATTAATATTTTCAGATTTCTGATATATGGATAATCGAGACATAATGCTTCTGGTACAATTACATCTGTGCTGATGATACTGTTGTTCTAATGTAATTTTCAGCATTTGCATGTGACATTGTGATAAAATGTCAGTCATCTATGCCAAATAAAGAAATTGTAAATTTGTGTCGGTTCTAGTGTCCATGTTGTCCCAATAGAAAGTCTGTTAAGATATTTATGTGATGCAACTTCTTTCATGAAATTCACAAAATTTTATTTTTATACGGTTTGAAGTTTGTCTTTTTAGCTCAGAGTCTGGGCCCTTATAAAGCGGCTATTTGAACGACCTTAAGACACATGAGTGGGTGAGAAACTTCATTACAAATTGTTTTCAAATGGTATGACAGAGTTAATCCAAGAATATGTTCACTGAAATTTAAGTTTGTTTTGAAAGTTTATATAAACAGCTGATGCACAAATTTCTTTGTTTCTTTACAAGAATGTACAATAAAATTTAGGTTATTGTGAAGTTTAAAGTGATTTTAATATAAGAGGGAATTGAAATATGATTTTCATTGGATTGCAACTTCTACTTTGCAGATTATTCATAGCCGACATCAATTGATCTTTCTATTGAAGCTTGTGGTATGCACCCAATTACAAACATTGAGATATAATGAAAATTCCAGGTGAAATTTGAGCCACCTTCCATATGTATAAATTTGAACCACATTTGTATATAAATTAAGCAGTTAGAAAGGTGTCATTATATCAATAATTAACAAGAAAGACTCTTAATACCAAATGTAATCAAAATCTGAAATGGTATTATTACAAACAGATGGATCCACAGTTCATACTGATGAATTATATATATGTATTGTCTCAGGAGAGAGTACAATGTTACTTTTTACTTGTTGCTTTTCAGCATATCCTGTTTGGTGCAGTATTAAAAATATTGCTACTCTCAACTGTATTATTTTGAGAAATAATTAAATTTTGAAAAAGCGAATTTATTCTTTTTTCTGTTGCTTAAGAATTTTTCTTTTATTTTGAACATTTTAATATGTTTTTTCATAAAGAATATTTTGAAAACATAAGTAACAATGGCAAGCCAGTGATTTCATTGTTGATCCAAAAAAACAAAGAAAGAAAAATGCAGTGACCATAGTGAAGCCAAGGAAGTCATAGGTAAGTGATCAAGCATACGCAAACTATGTGAAATGTTTAGTGTTTATTAAGAATTGTTTTTATTTTCTCAGGATACGAGGATTTGAACAGAGCGCCAAACATGTTTCCCTAGATGTAGGGTGTGCGGGTAAATTTTGAATATGTATAATGCATGCTCTGTTTACACATGGTCTTCGCCAATGGAACAGAGGCAAATAAGGAAAACAAAGTAGTTAAAGGTGGTCTTGCGCGTCCGTAATACTCTGTGTTGTATGTCATCTGTGGTCAGTAACACATGCATGCAAGTACCTAGTGGTTGGAAGTACGGCATCCTTTGGGATTTCTTTACATTCTTGAGTTCCGTCCGGTTCGTGTCAGGAGTGTGTAGTGGGTGGTTAATATTAATCTATGGGCACTTGGTACTTATAGTACGAAGTCTTGTGATGTACATGTTATATATGTAGTAATTATATAACAGTTTGTAAATATGATTTGCCCACGCATTGTGTAGCTTGAATAAATCATTTGTCCAGTGTATTTCAACAAGCGCCATGGAAAAGAAGCAAAATAGAGTTTATAAAGTCGTTCTCACGGGAGGTAAGAATCATTTTTTTTATTAAAGTTTGGAAAAGATCATTGAATGAATTACCGGCAAGAATTATTTCTAACATAATGACAATGTTTAATTATGTTTCTATGTAGGTCCTTGTGGTGGTAAAACTACTGGGCAGTCACGATTATGCACGTTCTTCGAGAATCTTGGATGGAAGGTTAGTTTCAAGTAATTCACATTTCTAAACCTATTGAATATTAGTCCATTGTAGGTAAACTTACGTAAAGGTATGGACAGGGATTGCTGTTTAGAATTTTTGCATTCAGGGGTTTAATGTGTTGAAACTACTTTAATTTGTGCAAAGTTTTGTTTGTACCGGAGGTACTACAGATTAAAAGAAGCAACAGAACACTGTAAACAATGATGATTGAAGGTTCTGAGCATGTAATCTGGTTATGTGTAAGCCAAGCAATGGAACACATTTAACTTAAGTGCATATTATTTAAATCTTGATGGTTTGGGGCTTAATACTTGAGAGTGATTTTACTCTCAGTTTTCAGTTTTTATTTGTGATATAATTTTGCTGTGACTTGGACAGTCTTATATGTAAAACAGTTTTAGATATATTATACTTTAATAATGACACTGTTTATAAAATTTAACATGGTATTTTGCTATTCCACATAACTAACGAAGTAAATGTTTCTATTAAAGTTACATCAGCACTTGATAACAAGTGCTGATGTTGAATAACACCTTAGAAAAGTGAGCAATCCCTTTTACAGGTTTTTCGGGTCCCAGAAACGGCCACTGTGTTGTTAAGGTAGGTGATTCTTTATTTTTCTTTGAAAACATTGGTACATTTTATCATTCAGTCTTTCATGAATATTCATTCTTCTAATTTCTTCTTTTTCAGTGGCGGCATCAAATTCTCAGATCTTTCGGCCGAAGAGGGTGAATATTTTTTGAGAACAATTTAATATAATTTGCATGTTTCATAGCAGAGTGTTAACTTTTATGAAAAAAACGTTCTACTTATTTTACAACTGTCGTTGTGGATTTAGTGAACGGTAATAGAGCATCTGAGTTTGTTTTGGTTTCAAAGGCATGTGGAACATAACTTTCTTAGTTGCCATGTTTTGTGGGTCACAGCTTATGCATGGTCTGAAGCTTTCACAGCGACTAAGTATAATGAATTCTTCTTGGGTTACCAGCTATGTCAGGTGGTTTTATGGAGAAAATATTTTTCAATAAATATTTTCTTTACCGTCCTCAGGGTACTGAACCTCATTGCCCTGAGGACGAGGAAAAGTTTTTGAAACTTTGGTGTTTTCTCCATTAAAACACCTGACATGGCTGGTAACCCAAGAAGAATTCATTATTCACAGTTTATGGTTTAAATGTTATCATGCGGTTGATATTTGCATGTACTCATATAACAAAGCACTTTTAGATTGACTTATCTCAAGCATGTGCAGTTTTATGTTTTTTGGGAAGAGAGATGTGCAATATTAACTGTAAACTATTTACTGGAAAAGGAAGTGATTATTTATTTCTGGTTTCCTCATTTTAATATTGTGTAATCTCTTCTCTCTGTGCTCAGTAATCTCAGCATGTAAAATTTAAGTAATCAGTTATCTATAAGCCCTTCAGTAATGCAAGATATACTTAACTAATATAGGCAGAAATTATCTTCTTCTCTTAGGAATACCAAACTTTATTATAATTGCTTTATAATACTCTATAGCACTTATTAGGATGTATAAATTTGGAGTGTGCATTGTGTTGGACATCATGCAGACACGTGAAAAATGAGAAAGTCATACAAAATTTTTATTTTTAAGGTTTAGACCAATGATCCATTCTAAGTTTTAGTCCCTGGCCCCACTGCCTATTTCTTGGATCGGCAGGGTCAAATTTCCTCCTGTCAGGTTGTAAAATGAAGTTTGGCATGGATGTGGAAGAAGTGGCACTTTTTTTTCTCTCAAAAGTGTGGTTCCTAAAACTAACGAGAGTAGGTCATTTGGAGGAGATTGGCATAGACAAGAAGTTAAAATTAAAGTAGTTCTTAAAGACATACTGTGTGAAGATGTGAACTGGATCCAACTTGTTCAGTGGCTGACATTTCGTGAACATGATAATGATCCTGTGGTTTCCATCAAAAGCAGAGAATTTGCTAGATCAACTGAGGGACTGTAAGCTTCTCAGAAGTTATTATATGGTAATTTTTTACTGTATGGCATTGGTACTGAGTTGGTATCACTGGCCGAAGACGGTATCTACCGGTTGATAAAGGCTGTCTGTTCCGAAAGCCAACAAAAGTATTATAATTACATGAACAAGTGTATTGTGATTTTCACTGCAGCAGAATGGTGATACAGACTTTAATCTTCTCTGTCCTAAAGTAGGTCTGCCTCCTGTGCCATCTAATATTAGAACTAGGCAGTGGCGCAGCGTGACTTTTTCAAAACTTAGCCAAATTCTTAGGTGTGGGGGGGGGGCGTTCGTGAAAATGGTATCCGTCGTGTATATACATCGTACTTCATCTTCCATGATGGTCAATCGCACGGCACACGCATACAACAAACGCCAGCACGCAAGCAAGTCGCGTGTTAGCAGTCGAAGCGTGGCTAACATCTTATCGTGGGAGGTGCAGTGTTTCCTCCCCTCAAGCGTATATCGTGTCTCTTGTTATTGCGCCTGCGCAAGCAGGAGGGAAACCTAAGTCAGAACCAGGTGGCCAACACCGGCTGGTTGGAGCTGACTAACGATGCCTTTTTATCTCCTCGGTTCGGTTGTGTTCCATTGTATGGGGTGCCATTGAACCACGAAAGTAAGAACCTTAATTTTTTGTTTTTAGAATCGTAAGCCGAGTTAACTTGCTTGAGACGAACGCTTCGCCCCTGGAAGTAGGAAACCGGGTCTGCTTTACCTTCCGTTTGAGTTATGTTCGCACACTTTTTAGCAAAGCCTTACAAATGCGACAGCTTGCCAAACATGGCTGCAATGCGCAATTGTCGCAGGTGCAAACAGACATTGCCATTTGCTACGTAGCGGCAGTGAAATATAGTTCGGTATGTGACGTCACACCAGGCCGTGTCTTGTAGTAAAGTTGTGTGTTTATGTATTAAGTACGTGGTAAATGCATACTGAACAACTTCAGAAGTCTTCTTGATATTTTGTATTAAAATTACGAAAGTAAGACCTCAGCTGAGATGCGTGTTTTTGCCCGCCGAAGACGCGTTGGTTAGTGATGGATATCCTTAATATCGTGACCCTGGTAAATGGATTGGCCGTGATGGGAAGTCCCATTGTAACCAAGGTTACCAGCCTTAATCCCCGTGGACTTAACGTTATGGGGCTTCGTGAAGGATGCCATATATGCGCGTGCTGATAATTCAGGTTACACGAGACATGCAGTAGTAAGTCACGAGGACGTGCTCTACCGATCGAGTATGACGGTGGGCATCACGTGTCTTCTAACGAAATGCGCACACGGGATCTGCCATTTAAAACGAAACCGAACATCAGTCAAGTACAACGGTACAAAAATCATAAGGAGCCCCAACCCAACCCCCTTGTGTAATAGACTCTTCCTAACCTCACCCGTGACAGTGGTGTAAAGGTCATCTCACCCCCTTGTGTAATAGACTCTTCATAACCTTACCCGTGACAGTGGTGTAAAGGTCATCTTGGTTGCTAGGCCGCTACTCACGCGCAGTTGCGCAAAAGATTTGTAAGTGCGAACATGGTTTATTCACGAACAGAACGCGTAGAACACTTTAAAAAAACTTTGACAGCCGTCCTCAAGAATACGAGAGCTGTAAATTTGTTAAGTTTATAATTATCATTGGTGTTGGAACCTAAGGATAAGGGAGGATTGGGCTCCTTGTCCAAGTATTAAGGACAAGGGCCACAACCCCCCCTCCCCCCGGTAGCTTCGTAAATTATGCTCACAACAGACTATGAGATACGTGTTTTTAATCTAGTATCAAAATTCCCTTACTCGTGCATATAATTCGTTAGAAATGGATGTTGAACCGGATGTGAAACATTGTTTTAATGTAGATTGTATACCTCGTCAGCGGCAACTGTCTCCCGGAATGTCGAATTCGATATACTTAGATTGGTTAGAATGTTCTGAATTATAAAACAGCAACTGAATAATTGATTAGTCACTTACCTTGGTTCTCAGTGTGCCAAGTGATTTTCCTCTCGTAAAAATGTTACGTGATTGAATTTGTCTCTGTAGTGAGCTGAATTTCAAGGCTCGCTGTACTGACGCCTTGGTTTCGACAACTGCTTTCTAAATTACTCCGAACAATTAAGTTGGCACTTCCTAAATAAGACGGTTTGCCTGATGATACGACGAGTAACTTGTCCTACAGTCACTTGGTCATCACGGTACTGGCCTGGTATTGCCCGATAACTTAAGCTTCTTTATCTTAATAATCCTACGTGTTTCCTGGTTTACTTCATGATGATTTAAGAGCCAAGTAATATAATCTCAGCTTATAATCTTATTTTTGTATAAAAGTATTCCACAGGCTTTCAAAGACAAAATTAACCACCTCTTAAATGTACGTGTCGTATAATTTTCTCTCATTTGATAGTGGCTAACATAATTGCAATGCATTCTCTATAGCCTGACCAATTTGCTGATCTATAAACAGTATAATTGTAGCTCTGGTATAAGTAATAATTTTCATAAGAGATAAAACGTGATGTAGAAACAAGGAGATAACGCTTGGGAGTTTTAATAACATGATGAATGTGCTTGCAATTGACGAAACGTCGCGAAAAAAATTGCCTTTCGATTAGTCATAGGCGTGTTAAAATAATTAGCATACAGATAGTTGTTCCACGTGCTACCCTGTGTTGTAAACTGTTTGCTGCAAAAATTCTAAAACGATTTGCCAACAGACAGGTTAATTGAAAATAAAACTAGTATATGAGAGGTAATTTTTGTTTTAATAGTTGGCATTTTATTTAAAATGTTCTGTTATTTAACGGTCTTTCATTTCATTAGATCGGTTTAAATCGGCAATGGATTGATTCTGTATAGAGGATTTCGATTGGTTTAAATCGACAATGGATTGATTCTGTATAGAGGATTTTATGGAGACACGTTATACACGAACGAAGATTTTAAGTTGTTTTTGTCAGAGGTGTTTTTGTTACCTGACAGTAGATTGCAGGGGTCAGAAAATATTTTTGTGGATTTTTGTAAGTTACTTTCTGCGATTTTTATACGGAATCCATTTTCTTGAACTTCGGCGTTTATTGTATTTCTTTTTCGAGTGTACCACAAAGACTTTGTCAAAGAATGAGCTATGAACACGTTTTAGTAATTGCTGTCGTATGTCATTAACCACATTGTCCCAGGATCGAGGAAGCACGCAACTCCTGTGAATTCTCCTGCTGACATTTTGTTTGATGGTCTCTTACATAAAGCGGTTTCCGTACCAGTCTCGATAGACAAGGGGTGGCCGATCTGTTTCTAACAGTTACAGTAAAGAGTACAATTGGATTCGCCGGGTAAAGCCTTTCAGGGGGAGGTCAGCAAGTTTAACTTCGGGGTGCACTGATTGTACAGCAGCGTCGCGATTTAAAGATGTCTGGCACCCGCCTGTGACGTAGCAAGCCTTAACATTGCCAGAATGTAGTTCTGTTGTCAGATCCTCATTTGGGCATTAGATTGTGTACGACCGAAAGTTCGAACTATGATAGTACAGACCAGAAAACAATCAAGAGCTCCGTATATGTAGTCTGGAACCGCGTTCAGTAGTTGAACCCGAAGACCTCAGAGCTCATCACATAATTGGTCACTAAACTGGATCTGAAATTGCAGGTTATGTCGAGAAAGAAATGTTTATATGACAGGAATTCCTCGACGACAGATCCTGTACGTCATAACACCATGACACATCGCATAGAAAGAAATGAGTTTCTTC